GTTCGCCCTCAAATATTTTTCATCTCATTACTTTTATATGTATTTCTTGTTTCTATGTAATACATTATGTCCTACAAAAAAAGCATTGATAAATGTATTTGAACTGAAAATGGTTCCGTTAACAGTTTACAAGAAAAACTAATAGCCTCAATCCATACAGTTCCTTGTCTAAGATTTGAAACATGCCTTGACGATCATTTTTCTAATCTGCAAAATATCCCTGAAAACACTCATTATTCTGCTGATGAGGTTATTACACCAAGGTCACAGAGCAAGAAGGAGCATGGTTTTATTTCAATATATTCTCGCACATACATTTCCTCCCAAGTTCTGCTTTCTTCAGTAAAGTCAGAATCTAGTAAAAACCTGTCTTGAGTATGTATCTGGAAAGAAATATATTCTATTGACCTTTGCTAGCTATTAACTACAGCGCAATGAAGCTAAAGCTAGGCTCCTGAATGTTCTAAAATCGCTAAGAAAGAAAGAAAGAAGAAAGAAAGAAAGAAAGAAAGAAAGAAAGAAAGAAAGAAAGAAAGAAAGAAAGAAAGAAAGGAAGGAAGAAAAGAAAGAAAGAAAGAAAGAAAGAAAGAAAGAAAGAAAGAAAGAAAGAAAGAAAGAAAGAAAGAAAGAAAGAAAGAAAGGAAAGAAAGGAAAGAAAGGAAGGCAGGCAAGAAAGAAAGAAAGAAAGGGGGGAGGGGAGGGAGGAAGGAAGGAAGGAAGGAAGGAAGGAAGGAAGGAAGGAAGGAAGGAAATAAACTGTGATCAGGTAGGAGAAATGCCTGCCAACTCAGACAAATAGCTGGTTTCCAGACCTTCTTGGAAGCATTAATATAAAGTGATTTCTCCTGCTCCTTCATTCATGTACTTTATTAAGCTCTGCAGAGAGAACATGATCCTAACACTTTAACATGATCCTGGTGCTTTGAATGCTGCCATCTCTAATGTCTGCCTCTGGAAGGTGCTGGAAAACTGGTAGTGAAATCTTCTCATATTTTACTTGGCAAAAATAGAGATGACCTCGTGTTATTTTTGTTTGTTGGTTTCTTTCAGGGCCTTATTGAACATTTTTGCTTACACGTTTCTTGTGGGAAATTTTTTACAAGAAAGTCTGTGAGATACCTGAGTTCAGACCAAGACATGTTCTGTGAACTATTAACCAGCTATGTTTGATGAAAAATGTCACTGAATATCTGCTCGAGTGGAACTGTCAATGAGATTACGGCTCTTGATAGGATTGAAAGGACTTGTGAAGCCATGCACTGTTTGTTTTAGGAAAAACAGCATGATCTGGGACATCTTTACGCAGCTGTTGGACGCCTTTCTGCATCTGTTTCTTCATTTATGAATTAGGTATAAAAATATGAAACTCATTGTTTTAATTTATTATATGAATTACATAAACTTATGATTATCAAATACTAAAAATAAAATGATCTCTCAAGGAACATAATTTATTTTCTTCTCACTCATGCTGCATTTACTTTTCAGACAGTGCTGCGTGTATCTTATTTATGAAAGCAAAAGATCGATACCTGATTAACTCGTTTATATTTAGAGAGAATGATTAGGAATATTTGATGTTTCAACACCTGTGCAAGTAATTCCCTGCCAGGAAACCAAGAGATTTGGGGAACCCAGAAACCGTAAGTCCTTTAGACCATTTTGAAGACACGGAACATCAACTCAATCAAGTGATGTCTGACACTCAGCTAGCATTGCTGCTGATTCAGAGAACGTCTTACATGCTGTGTAGTTTCATTATCAAAAAAGACAAGCTAAAACCTTATGCTTTTTAGTGCCTACATAGATTCCATTATTAATATGTATTCTGTATTTCTACTAGCAAAGTGAGCAATGAAAACAAGACCACGTATCTTTTTAATGTGTATTCTATCAATTATGATGAGCAAAATTTCCCATAATTGGAAATAGTCCACAAATCAGATACATATGGTAGATAAACTGTTATTTCATGGTTGAGGAGCAGTGCTTTGAAACATATTGCATAAAGTATTGATACTTATCTGATTCTCAGTCTCTAACTGTATTTCTGCACTGGCTATATATAAGTAAGCCATAAAATAAGCTTTTATTGAGGTTAACTGTTTTGCATTTTCCCCATCTGAGTATGCGAGGGCCAGTTACGGAGTGGAACATTTTTTCGCCCTAAAAGAAATGAAAAATATCCTCTTTACTACATTTGGAATCCAGTTACATTTTTACAGTGAAAAGGTACATCATAGATTGGTTACCTGAGATAGGAGTTAACATTCAGGAATGCCTTTGTGGTCATGATCTATCGAAGGCAAGAGAGAACATCACTGTTGGGTGGAAAAAGAGGTGTCGGTGAGATGCAGCCACAATGGAGGGCACCCCACCATTCGATGGAGATTTCTGAGGCCGGGATGGCAGTGTAGAGAGACTGCCCCTACTTGGGGTATGGGGGTGAGGTCTTCATACTTTCATCCTCATCAGTCATTGGATATGGGGAACTCTGGGAAAAAGGTGTGACATTGGGTAAGGCAGATTTGGTGTACACATAGCTAACAGCTGAGAGTTCTCTTTCGGGATGACTCCTAGCATCTAGGGGAGGAAAATATTTCTGAAAGAACATCCAGGTAGCACATAATGGCATTCACAATAATTCACCCATTGTGTCACCTGGATCCATTTTTCCAGGAAAGCTCCTCCATGAGTTCAGTGAACATTCTGGGGGGAACTTACAAGAAGATTAGTAAAACAAACGACAGTGTCCACCTCTGTTGCTGGTCTTGGGACCACAGTTGATGCTTGTTGTCCCTCTCTCCTGCTGTCTACTCTCCCCTCCCCTGGCACTCAGCCAGCATCACTGCCGGTTTCGATTTTCTACATAATGCTGTAACCATACCCTCATTACTGAGATGTCTGAACTCCTGGTCCTCACGACTCTCTCAAGCCCTTGTGCTGTACTTGTCCATTTATTATCAAAATTAGGTAAGATAATACAAAGAAGCACTCAAGTAGATGGGTCATTTGGCGAACGTTTTGCCACACACATTGCCCCATTGTTTAAGAAAACCCTGATCTCCCCCTGGAGACCGAGGTGATGACTTTTTCCGAGATGGCAGCTCCTCTTCTTGCCTGTTCTTGTGGGACATGCAGTCTGAAATGCCCAGGAAGGCTCTTTAGCCAATACTTCAATAGGGATTTTTCATATCTTTTACAGTGTAATTCTTTCACTGGAAATGAGAATCTCTACACTCATAGAGTCCAAAGGTGCAGGTTCAAGGCAAAAACTCCCCAAGTGGATCCCTGGAAATGATGGTAGGCAAGACCACTGCTGCTATTACATTTTGGTTGCCTGATCTGTGTGTTTTTTATCTATTTGGGGATACAATACCTTACGAAGACACTGAGACAAGTCAGGGAATAAAAGAAATCCCATACCAGGAAAATGTATCTAATCCTGTCAGATAAATAAATCACTGTCCCTAATATGCCTACGTCTGGATGTTGTGACTTAACCTTAGTTGTTAGCTGAGTTGTAAGTATTTAGTCATTGACTTAGATTTTGCAAGGAGAGGCCTCTGCATCCTCTTCAGATATGGGTGAATGTGAAAGAGTAGGCAATTTCTGCAGGCTGTGAATGCTGACAACTTAGAATTCTTGAGCACTGCAGTCCTGAGGTACTCATTCAATAGATCAGAATGCTATTTTCCCCAACCAGGCTCTGGTTTGGAATAGGAGTCCTGCCTTAGGCAGAGGTTTAAATATTCTTCCACTTAAATCGTGGGAGTGGTTCCCTGGGCCTTAGCTTTCTCTGGCCTCTAAGGCAGGAAATATGTGCCCCCAAGAAGTCCTGGTTCTCACAATTAGTCTTTATTTTCAGTTAATCGAGTTTAGCTTTTAATAATATTTTTCCAAATTTAAGCAAACTATGCATTAGGCACCTAGTTCCATGTAATATATAGTTAATATTCCCCCTTCTTTCTCAGAGGTGTGACATACCACTCTGCCAGTGCAGGTTAACCACCATCACAGTCCAACTACGAAAAGTTAAAAAACTGCATTGCTACCTACGGCCAGAGGTTCTTCGTGCCCCTACTGTCAGTCACAGGTCGCAGGGTCTTTTCTGCCAGCTGCAAAATCCCACTCCAGATTCTGTGTATTAAGGCCCCTCCTGGAACCCGCTGCCTGCAGACGTGGTTCCCAGGAAAGCCAACCCTGAGACTGAGATAAGCGTGCGCGGGATTTATTAGCGAGTGCGTTGAATTAACGCCTGTGGGAGGAAGGGGGAAGGGATCGGGCAGAAGTAGAGTTGCAGCAGGGACTCAACAGAGGCCTCACGAAGTTCCAAAGTTCGAGGAGACTCTGTACCATTGTCCCAAAGTTGGGCGTAGAGGCTGAACGTCTGTAACCCATGGATCAGTGGATTTGGTGGATCATTGGGAAAAGGCATTACCCTCGTCTTCCCTGTCGGCAGGTTCGCATCCGCAGATTCAACAAACCGTCGGCTCGGCGGTCCGTTGAATCTGTGGATGTGGAATCGGTGGATACGAAGGGCCGCCGTAAAGCGCCGTTTCACTTAAGGGGTTTGAGCGGCCGTGGGCTGCGGTAGCAGAGGGCTTTCGTGTGGGCCGGGCCCGGGTTCCTGGGCCAATTCCCTGCGGGGCCGGAGGGACGACTATGCTTTGAGCAGGGCCCTGGGAGGAGGAGAAGGTAGGTCGTAAATCTTCATTTTGGTGAGGAGCCTGTGTGCTCTCTCATAGCATCCTCTGCAGGGGCCTCGGAAGCCACGAAAAGAACCTCCCAGGTGACGTGGTCCACAATTTTTCAGTAATTCGGAAGTGTCTTGCAGTCTTACGAAATCTGGCTACACTCATATTTTCACTCGCAGTCTGGTGTACTATGCACAGTGAAATTCAGAACTTTGGAAGTTGGAACTTTGCCAACTGAAAAGTGAGTGTCTGACATCTGTGCCACTTCATTTGTGGTTTTTTTAGCTGAACGCTCCAGAGGATGCAGTTGTTTTATAGCCTTACGTATCAACATTGAGAGGATAAAGATAATAAAGGAGCGAAAGCTGTGAGGTCCTAATTCCAGAAGGGCGTTTTGGTGAAGTGCGCTGACTTCCTGCAGATTCACCCGGTGCGTGAGCGCGGGCGCGCATTTCCTGCAGTTGTTACCCCAAAAGGTAAAGAACCCGGTTCTTGTCATACCCGGAAGACAAGGTCGCAGTTGGGAGATGGTGCGTTGTGTAGCGTAAGATTTCAAAGATTTATTTAAAAGGAAACGAAAAGTACATCCCCAAGAATGGGAGGTGGTCTGATCCAAGAGAGGAAAAAGCGGTGGTCTTTGTCTCCTCCCCTTTGTCTTAGACCCTCGCTTAGAGGGGGGCTCTTGGTTAATTGAGGGCTCTTGTCCCCGGAGTGCTTAGTCATGTTTGGCCCCTTTGCGCATGTCCTTACCCATGGTGCACACAGAAACCCATTGCCGGGGTGCTAACCGCAGTGTTACTTATAATATAGTGAAGATTGGTCATGTCTGTGGTTAAGTCCCTTTCGGGACCGGGCAGTCGTGGCTATAGGGTTTAACGGTGGTTTTTTTGTTTGTTTATTTGTTTTTGTTTTTTTGCTGGCACTCATTTAGAAGTAAAGTCCCTTTATGCTGGAGACGGGCACAGCACCATCTTCCAGACCCTACTCCCTCTCCTCCACCCGTCTGCCCGGTGCCCCTGCTTATCTAATTACTGAACATAATGATTTGTTTTTTGATAATGTACATTTCCTGCACTTACTTATAATTTTTGCACAAATAAATGATACTGGTTGTAGTCATTTTTCTTTAATTGTATTCATCAAATTTGGGTATAGAAGATAGCATCACAAGTGAGTTGTGGAGGGTTCATGGTTCTTGTACGTAGAATAGTTTTATGTATCTTTAGATATTAGACAGAATTAGGCTGTGGAATCATCAATTCTGTTAACTTTTTAAAAATGGCTCCAGTCTTTTCTAAGGAAATTGTTCTATTTAAATAAAACCTGTCTTCTGGTGTTATTTTTAAATTATAATTTTAAATCATGCATTTCCTTTAACATTCCAAATGTATTACATGTAGAATTATCATTTTCATCTTTATCTGTCTATGACTGTGTCTTTTGCATTCTTAATTTTCTTCATTTTAATAAATGTTTTGCTTTAACAATCTCATGAGATTAGCTTCTGTGTATTCTCAAATAATCTGCTTTATATTTATCTATTCAGTGCTCTATTCCTTGTATCTTTCATTTTATTAATTTCTGTCATTTCGTTTAATTTATTCCTGTATACTACATAAACTTATGCTGTTTTTTCCATGTTTTTTATATATAGTAAACACTTTCATATTAAATATGTTTTATGTAGTAATGAACACAGAGAAAATGATAAAGGATTCTTTTTGCCTAGCACAAAGTCAGTATTTGTGTTCCATTTTGGGGAAAATCTTAAAACTTTCACCAGTTACAAGTATAAAAGAAGCTTCATCCAGCCTCATTCCTTCACACTCACACTCACACAGAGAAACACAAACACGTACACAAGTATCCATCGTGTTTTACAAAAGGTAGCTTTATCTTTGTGTTGCCTTATTTTTCTGTGCTATGACTAGTTACAGAACAAATGTGTCAGTATGTGTTGCTTTTACAGTATGTGAGGCTAGGAGAAACTTTTGCTAGTGACATTCACCCAGTTCTCTGTCCTTAATTTGATATTTGGGTTCCTGAGTCCTGTAAGAATGTTGCTCCAAGTGGGAGCATTGCTCGTTTGGTCATTCACTTCATTTCATGTTTTTTCTTGGCAAGTGCATCCTCTAGTTATTTTAATGAAATAAGATGTTTCCACAAAGTAGTTCTAGCTCTTGGCCATCAGAGAGGAATCCTTGTATGTGAATGTACGGGTATTACATTTTAAACTGCCATTTCTTTATTGTTTCTCTTGCATTTCTAAACTGTTTAAACACCAGTATTTTTGTTTCATAGAATTTTGTATATATTTATGCCCATGTTTTTTCTCTTTTCATTTTCTGATATTAATGTTAGAAAAAGTATAGTACTGCTGTGTTTGTTTGTGTCTTCCTGATAACTTTTTTGTACCCCTTCATCTCTCTCTCGTCTCTCAAATTTTACTCTTTAAAAGTACATTTCTATACCGATTTTGTTTAGCATATACAATGTCTTTGTTGTAATTGGACATTGTTGTTAACATTTTTAATGGACACTTGAATATACTTTCATGATCTAACTTTCGAATTATTTGTTTTACTTTATGGTTTTCCCTTGATGTATTTATTTATTTTTATTTTCCTTATATATTAGTTTAATCATGATGACATTTATTCCTCTATTTCTCTTGTTCATCTGTTAATTCTGTTGTTTTCCAGGTCTTTAGTTATAACTTTTACCTTTCCTGAGGCTCAAAATTAAACATATTTCTCTATAGTTATATGAATGAGTGATAAAAAAATTCCCCCCATCTAGATAGACAGTTAAAAAAAATCCTCTTCATTTCTCTCTCCAATAAAATGGCACTTCTGGGAGAGCTTTATTTTCCTACTTTCTTTTCAACTCTCAAACTTCTTTCTCAGCCAGTACAGTACAATCCTTAGATTTGGCTGGGAGAAGATAGTATATTTAATTTTGGATCTGTTTTAGATTCTGCATGTAAATGGTTCTTATGAAAAATATTTAAAGTGTAAGATACACATCCAGAGAGTTTATGATTATACTTTTTGATTCAATTCTGTGTTTTAGACTTAGAAACCTAAGTATACTTGTAAATAATTTCAAGATTCATTTTTCATAGCGTTTTTTCTTCCTTTCTTTTCCTATGATGAAATTTTCAGTTCTGACTAGTAGGTGTTAGGTTAGGTTTTTCCTGATACTTCTCAGATAAGATATGTAGGTGATATACTCTCTGAATCCTTGAATCTTATAATAATCTTTCTTACAAACTATAAACTGTCAGTGGGATGTGAGCTTAGCTGAGCATCCTTGACTTTCAGGACTAATCTCCTTGTAGAGGATCTTCCCTGTGTTGCAGTCACATTGTTTTTCCTTGTGAATAAACCGTTCTTTCTCTTTTTAGGCTTAGAAGATTGTGTATAAAGTTCTGATGTTTTTCTTTTTGAATTTTTTTAATTTATATATTACAATACCTGTATGTATCTCTCAAGGTTTTTTTAAAAAAAATTCATCATGATTTCCTTCTTCACAATTTTGGTTCCGTAGTTTTAGCTATTTCTTCTGTTTATCTAAGCCTCTACTTAGTATGTTAACAGTGACTATTCTCTCAATTAATCTGAAGAGTTTTTTTTATATTAAATTTCATCATGTTGTTTAGATACTTTGAATGCATCTCCCTGAGGGCTTTTATAATTTATTTAATGTCATTTTTCTCATCCATCACCTCTATTGTATAAGCATATGTTTTGTTCTTCCCTCTAGCTTCTGGCTCCCCTTAATTATGTGTTCATATGTATTTGATTTCACTGTGGTTCCATTCCGACTCGTTGGTTCCTTTAAATTGGTGGCAAACCAGTGCAGGATGGTTACCACTCTTAGGGGTAATGGTGAGGTCTGATTTTCCAACCCCTTTTCATTTATGCATCCATGATTCTGATGTAAAAAGGCTACGAACCATATTATATCACACATACACTGGAGGCTATATATGTCCATCTGAATGTTAAAATCACTGGAATGTGTGTGTGTGTGTGTGTGTGTGTGTGTGTGTGTGTGTCTATATGGAGAGAAAGAAGCAGAGACAGAGAAAGTGAGAAGGGACTTGGATACATATTTTAGCCAAAACTTTTTGTGTTTTTTTCTTAGAATATTTTCTAATCATTATAACATTATAATTTAGAAACATTTATGAAGATAAAACATTATCTTCTCATCCATTGTCCTAGGTGCAACTTTATCCATTTTTATTTCTTACCCCCTAACCCAAAAGTAACTCCTTTGTATGCACCAAAACATAAAAATAACAAGAAAAAAAAAAAGAAAATAACAAAATGTCATAAAGCATACTTTTAAGTAACTTTCTTTATATAAGAAAATATAGGTATTTTGTTGGTGTTTCACTGTAAACAGGTCATTAAGTTTCACAATAATAATCTTGTTGTGAACAGTAGAGGAAATGGACATGTGAGAACCAAAATTTTTCTTCCCCAATCATAATAAGATTCTTTGCATCAGTGCATCTTGGGTCATGTAAGTGTTAAAAACTAATTTCTCGAAGTAGCCTGTTGTAATCGTTCATAATAAAAGGAGTGTCATTTTGGCACACTGAGCTAAAGGGAAAACGCAGGACTTGAAAACTGGTACACCTGATAACTGGATTTTCCTCCCACTGCTATCACTGTGAGGTAAATAGGCTAGTTTAATGTCTCGAAGCTGTTGATGATGTTTTTTTCCGAATACTTGAACATTAAATATCTGGTAATCCCCAAGGAATATTTTTAAATGCAGTGACCTCTTAAAAGATCATCATAAAAATCATTCTTAATTAGGTTTAGGAAATCAACTTAAGTATCTATGTAAATCAAATTTGATGTAATGCCCTGTCGAATGCATGGCCAGGTAAGTCTCAGGAAATAATATCTGTATGTTATGTTCCTCAGGAGCATCTAGAACCACTAAGAATTACAACTGATTTTTATAAAAAGGAGAATATTTATTTTAAGTGTCTCAAGATTTAAGTTGCACACTAATAATTATGAGTGATAGCTGTATAATCTGACATCATTGCAGATAGCAAGGGCATTATTATTTTAAAACGATGGACAATAAAGGAGAAAACCCTTTAGGAAGGGCCTAGAATTACAATATTGCATCATATAAACATGATACTTCAATACTGTTATCCTGTTACTCGGGAGCTTACCATGTTCCCCAGGAGCTCCCTCCATTACCAAGGTATTTCAGAGAACAAAGGCCAGAATGCCTCAGGGACCCTCAGCAGCTTTTGTTGACTTTAGGATGTTTGGTTTGACAATGAGGATGTTCAAAAATGTTCGGAGAGCAGTGCGGATATTTCACAGTCCCCTTCAAGTTCCACATGTGTGGGAAGTGTTACCGGGAAAGACACAGTAACCAGGAGTGTAGCTTTTCCTCCAAAACTGGACATGCTTGTTAGTTACCTGACTTACTTGTT